GGACCAGATTTCAGGAACTTATCGGAAAGTACCCCCAATATGATTTGCCAGACACAAAGAAAGTCAGAGTCTTCTATAATGGGATGACACCAGATTCCAAAATGGTTGTCAACGGTACACTTGCCAATTACGCAACAATCATCTCCTGTCAAGACCATGTCATCTATATAGACAATCAATACGGTCACTTTTCCTTCCTTGTGTTTAATGAATAAGGTATGGTCAGCATTGCTTTGTTTATATCTGAATCTCCTCATTGCAAAAGAAAATCTCTCAAACCATGCTCTAGGGGATTGTTTAAGTCTATATAAGGTTTTCTTCAGTTTACAAATTTTATTCTCACTAAAAGAACTTTGTTTGACACCTGGTGGTATCTCTATGTACACTTCCTCTTCGACGTCTCCATTTAAGAATACATTTTTTACATCAAATTGTTGTAGTGTCCAATCTCTATTTGCAGCTATGGACATAATTATCCGGATTGTATTTAGTTTAGCTACTGGTGCAAAGGTTTCTTGGTAGTCTACTCAATACTTTTGCGAGTATCCTTTTGCCACCAATCTAGCTTTGTACTTGTCAATACTTCTATCTGCCTTTAGCTTTACAGTAAACACCCACCTACATCCAATGGTTCTTTTACCATCTAGTAAGGGCAAAAGTTCCCATGTAGAGTTCTTTTGCAAGGCCTCCATTTCATCATTCATTGCCTTCTTCCAATTCGGATCCTCCAATGCATCTTGTACATTACTAGTGACAGATATACTAGATAATTGATCAACAGCGAGAGCATATGATTCAAACAACCGGTGATTAGATACATAGTTACTAATAGGATATTTAGTTTTAGCATTGGGTTTAGGTTCATATAGTTCCTTTGGGACACCCTTATTGATCCTATGTGATCTTCTGAGAGTTATGTCACCATAATCAATCATGATTTTAGTAGGAATATCATGAAACACAATGACATTTTCAGTGGGTAGATTATCATTCTGAAAGATATTTTCTTCAAGAAGAGTAGGATTAGAAATTATCTCTGTTGGGTTATGGTGGTCCTGGAGAAATCCCTTAACTTCTGGTGTTAAGCAAGGTATTTCTGCTATTACTAGAGAGTCAGAGTGTAAGACTTCAACATTCTCCACACTTGTATGTGTTGCTTCAGTTCCTCCTATATTCAAGGTGGCTAATTGATCTTGCTCTTCATAGTAACTCTCCCCTTGAAAAGGAGACCCAGAAACTCCCGCTGAATAATAAGGTTCAAATTCTCGAAAAGAGACATCTAGAGTGATATGTACTTTTTGTTATTGGAGATCATAACACTGGTATCATTTCTGAACATCAGAATAACCAACAAACACACACCTTTTAGCACATGGATCTAGTTTGTTACGCAGTACTTTGGGAATATGGACATAAACAGTGCAGCCAAACACACAATGCTCAAGATTGAGAATGTGGGGAACTGAAAGTAGTGATTCAAATTTTTATTGCGAAGTCACAAAGTTGATCACAAAGTTAATCAGATAAGTCACCCCAGTAAAAATGGGGCATATTCATGCCAAAGAGAGAGGCACGAACAACCTCCATAAGTTTCCTATTCTTCCTTTCGGCCAAACCATTTTGCTATGGTGTACAAGTAGAGGAGGATTGATGTCTAATCCCCTAGTGATTCAAGAACAACGCAAAAGATTTATCTGTATATTCGGTCCCATTATCAGACTGCAAAATTCGGATCTGGCACTGAAATTGAGTGGCTACCATTCGGTGAAAGGTTTGGAAGGCTGTAAATACATCACTTTTCTTATGTAACAACATGACCCATGTCATTTGAGTACATTCATCTATAACAAAGTATCGAGCTTTAGATAGGGAAGGGACACCAGCCAGTCCCCAAACATCCGAGTGAACAACTTCAAAAGCAATTGAACTTTTATTACTACTAAGAGAATAGGAAATACGATGGCTTTTTGCTAGTTCACATGTGTTACAATGGAAATCATCAATATTCAAACTAGAAAACAATCTTGAATGTAATTTTTTCAAATAGCCAAAAGAGATATGTCCTAGTCTTTTATGCCAAAGCCAAATTATTTCCTGAGCCTTATCTTCACTAATATTCACTACTGGCATGATTGACTTCTCCCAATTTATTCTGTCTCTTTCCGGTAACATCCAGATAATAAAGTTTGTCTCGCTTAACATTATAGCCAAGAGTCTTCTAGGTGGAAATTTCCTGGAACACACAAAATGAAGGCCAAAAGGTGACAGTGTAGTTCAAGGTATTAGTAAGTTGTGCTACGAAAAGTAAGTCATATTCAAGGGAAGGGACAACCAAAATAGAAGTCAAATGAAGATGTTCAGACAAGATAAGAATCCTTTACCAGTGATAGTAGAGGTACTACCATTAGCAGTAGAAATAAATGTTTGGGAGGAAGGAAAAAAACAATGCAACTTACTAGAATCCTTTATCATATGATAAGACGCTCTAGTGTCAATTATCCAAATATCATCTCTAGAACATGCAGGAAAAATAAGAGTTTTACCAACATTACCCGAGTAAGCAACATTGGTAGTGGACTGTTGGGGACTTTCATAAGAGGTAGTGGCCATTGCTTTGCTAGGAAGAATACAATAATGAAAGAAAGGTGAAGATGTTTTCAGAATTACACTTCAAGTATGGATACATGTGAGACTGATTTCGCAGTTCCTTTACCGGATTAGAACAGAGGCTCTGATACCATGTTACAAATCAAGGAACTCTATAAAATAGTAATTTATTCGTATTTCTTCTACCTCAATAGAGGTCATTATATACAAAGTATTAGAGTTACAAATCATTCATAAATCAGGCTACAAATCAGCCATAAATCAAGGAAGAAAATTACAAATAATCAGGAAATTACAACTCCTAAAATCTCTCTACATAATTCTTACAATCTCTCCATGTAACGGAATCCATTTAATTGCTACATAAATTGGTCAATCAAATCAAAAATTAAATCTTTCCAATTAGAAAAAATATACAACTCAACAGTTTTGAACAAAACAAGCATTTTCACGAAAGTAGTGTTTCCAAATATAAGAAAATTTCCCCGAAATTATCTTTTGGCTAATTTTTCATATCAAAGACGACACATTTGGATCTTATTGTCTGTATATAAGTTTTAGATCTCTTTCTTATCTTTTCAACAAGACCAAAATTGCATCAATTAGATGAGTACAACTCAAGTTATACCCAAAAAATGAAAGCAATGTGCTAGTTGTCATATGCACGCCAAAGTGACCAAATTGAGAGCTACACCAAAGTGTGAGGAGATCATGAAGTTTCGACCAACAGTGCGCCAAAGCGCCCAAATTGCATGCTAAAACTCTTCAGTTGTAAAAAGAGCGTAAAGTTACTGCTAACGTGTTAAGGTGCCCATTCTACACACTTAAGAGTTCGACGCGAGAAACATGGCCTATTCAAATAAAAGAAGCCCAAGAAAGGTTGTTCCTTATAAATAAGAGGCCAGGGTTAGGGTTAAAGATCTCTTAACCACGAAATTACCTTGGTGTATGCTTGAGAGTTCTGAAAACACTTGGAAGACAAGATCAGGTTGTTGATATGCGAAGATTCACTACATGCCAGGGTGTTTAGGGAAGCCTTTTCTATTCTTTTTTGTTTTTTTATCTTTGTCATGTCTAACTAAACTTCTTTGTAGTTAGGGTTAGATTGTTTAATTGAATCTTGTTGACAATTGTTCTTTTTATTTTATGATTATGTTAATTATTCTCATTTTTTATGCTTTCTCTGGGTCACAATTTTGGGGATTGATTTACAATTATGTATAGCAATAGGAATGTAGGTGCATAACTCTAACCTAGGTAATTAACCATTACTCGTAATTGAACCAGGAATAAGTGAGGAGAGTTGTATGATCAAGGTAATTCTCAATGCCTTAGATTATCTATTCTTAAAGATTAAACCTTTTTAGGAAATACCAAGGGATTAAGTTCCCTATAAGGGGTTAAAAGATCAAGATACTAAGGGATTGCGTCTTGATTAATTTAGAATAATCGTTCAATAATCATTAATTTAGTTGAACAATTGAAAATAAGGGAAGATCAATTAGGGAAAACTAATTCCCTAACTAGTCTCTCTTGATTGTTTTCTTGTTTGCTTCGGTGCTATTTTTTTTTAAATTAATTTTTTCTTTATTTCTATCTTTAATTCTTGTTCATACCCAATCTTCTTTTTTGAATTCATTCAACTTAAGCGAATTAGTAATTGAAATACTAATTATCGTAGGTACGATACTTTTTTCCATCACTTTATTACTTGTATGACTGATATATTCGTCGTATTTGCAACACGTATAAAAATCCAAAAAAATAAGAGGTTCACGAACTAAATTATATCCAAACACAGTTCTTTAAAGAGATTACTAAAAAGAAATCATGCAACATTATTTAAGAATAATACACACAAGTTGGTAACATATGAAGACTCACCGGCAATCAACCATGTACCCAAATATGGGTTGATAGAGTGATCCAAGTATTATTCGTAGAAGGAGAAGATAGAGTGCTCCGGTTATACGATGACGGGTGACAGTGGAACATAGATGATTGGGGCTGCGTAGTGGAAAAGGCGTGATCGGCTATTAGAGTGTGTCTATAATAGCATGCAGAAATTAAGAGATTGGATGGTGAGTCAATTCAAATTTATTTCACTCCTCCAAGTATGGATAATTTATACATGATTCATTTGATATTTATTCTAAGAAAGTATATATAAAAAAAGGAAACAAAGCATCTTCACTAATTTGGGTATCTTATACATAAAATTAATAATAATTTTAATTAAAAACAATCAAAACTATTTGATATCAATACAATAAATACTAATAAATACCTAACATAATGTACCCTTCAATCATAAAGCGTTAAAAAAACATCGTACGACTGACGAATAAAACTTTAGTACTACCGAGCAAGTATTGATAGAGTCCAATTCAATAATGGAGATCTCGGCGATTGGTGAACCATCCGCTGAGGAGGTTGATCTCTTGAAGCGTAGTACTGACAAAGCTAAAGAAGTGTTAGGGAAGAAACCGATATCTTATAAGGATACACTCTTACAGTTGAATGGGCTGAAAGTTACGGATGACGTCGAGGAAAGGGATTGGTTTGAGGAGTTGGATGTTCATGGTATGGAGGAGGATGTTCAATCAAATGACCAAGATGATCCTTTCTGTCCTACATACAGATTTTCAAAAGAGCTATATAAGGAGAGTTGCAGGCCTTGGAAGCAAGCTGTGATTATCAAGCTCTTGGGAAAAAAGGTTGGTGTAAAGTTTTTGCTGAACAGACTCTTGAAGATGTGGAATCTGTCGGGGACACATGAGTTCATTGATATGGAGAACGATTACTTTTTGTTTCGTTTTGCGGATTTGAATGACTACAACTTCGTTTTGGAGGAAGGGCCTTGGATTGTGGCAGACCATTATGTTTCTGTTCAACGGTGGCGTCCATTATTTGATCCTTACGAGGACAACCTTAAAAAATTAGCTGTTTGGATCCGTATTCCGGGGTTACCTATGGAGTTCTATACCTCCCAACATTTGCGGAACATAGGTGATCTATTTGGGAAAACACTGAAGATTGATAGGAACTCTATACGTAAAAGTGATGCTGGTGATGGGGTTGTTACGGAAAGGGCCAAGTTTGCGCGTATTTGCGTAGAAGTAGATCTCAGTAAAGGCTTCTTGTCTAAATTCAATCTCATTAATAAGGTTTATACGGTAGGGTATGAAGGCCTTCACATGATCTGCTTTGCATGTGGTAAGTATGGGCATAGGCGTGACACTTGTTCTTCGGTTTCGGTGTCAACAGATAGTCATTCTCACCAAAAGGATGTTCGTGCAGAGGTTGTTAACAATGGTGTCAGGCGTGAGATGGCAGAAGGTGAAGCTTTTGGTTCTTGGATGATTGTCCAAAGGAGTCAACGGGGAAGGAAGGCAAAAGCTACCATGGAGACTGCCGCAATCAATGCTGCCGCAATCAATGCTACCGCAATCAATGCAGCCGGGAATCAGGGGTAATCCTTTACAACTGGCCAAAGGAGAATTAATGCTCAAGGAATAAATCATTCTGTTTCACGTCCAACTAAAATCAAGCAGCAGAAACCCGATAATCATGTGGGAATTAAATCGGCTACAATGATTAATGCAAAAAATAACGGTTCTGGAGCTTCAAAGGTGGCGTCTTCAACGGCTGGATCAAGATTTTCAGTTATTTCTGACGAAGTTAATGATAATCATGATGTTAATTATGAGAATATTCAAATCATTAATGATAAGCATGGCCCCTCTAAGGTAACCGCTAGTGCTGATTTGAAAAAGGGTTTAAATAATAAGATTTCGAATTTTCCTCGTGATAAACGTCATCTTTCAGCAGCTATTCTCCCTAGCTCAAATACAGTTACAAATTTGGTGGGACCCTCTATGCCAAATCAAAATCTAAGTGGCCCTGAGCTTATGCCAGTTGTTCAAAAAGGTACTGTTATTCCTCAGGTAGAAGAAAGGATTTTGTCTCGACCACAAGAGGCTACCATTTCCAAGTCTTCTACTTTGTCGCAAAATGGAAAAAAAAGAGAAAGAGTTACGTGATGAAATTAACAGGAATAAAAAGGCAGTTGCCTTATCTATTGTCCCAAAGAGTTTTAAGCAAAGGGCTAAGCCGTTCATTGCTTCGAGCTCGGCAAAAAAAATTTCAGCAATGGACATTAATGGCAGAAAGCCTCTTGTTCTCTCTTCTACATCATCTCCTCCACATGTGGTAACTCCCTCAGATTCCGGTAAAAGGGAGGATGGGGTTGATATTTCCATAATAACGCATGACAACAAGAATCCGGTTACTCTTTCCAGCTCGAAGGATGTTGAGGCTTCGAATGCTAGTTTGAGACCTGCTGATGTACCCTCGGTGATGCGGGATAGTTTTGATCTCCCCAAAGTCTAATGACAGGGTGTTTTTCATCCTTTCTCATTATTTTTTGTGGTTTTTTGATGAGTGTGTGTGTTTGGAATTGCAGGGGGGCCGGAAAAAAGGGTTTTTCTCCCCTTATTAGGGACTTGTCTCGTCGTTTTAATATTCAAGTTATGGCTTTGCTTGAAACTCGTATCGGAGCTGACCGTGCTCAGAAGGTGGTGAAAGGCTTTGGCTTTCAAAAGCATGTTATGGCTCATCCTCAAGGTTTTTCTGGTGGTCTGTGGGTGTTATGGAATGATGATGAAGCTCAGATTCAGATTTTAGAGTCTCATCGTCAGTTTATCCATTTAAAATTTTTTTGGCGTAATAGGAGGAAGGAGGAAGCTGTTACTTTTGTTTATGCCAGTCTGCGGCGTCTTGAGAGGGTGTCTCTGTGGGATGCTCTAGGAAGGTTACAACAGCAATCCTCGGAGGCTTGGTGCATTTTGGGAGATTTCAATTCTTATTTGCATGCAGCAGAAAAGGAGGGAGGTGGCCCGCCTGATTGGAGGAGTATTTATGATTTCCAAGATTGTATTATGAACTGCAATCTGGAAGACTTGGGTCATCAGGGGCCTACTTTCACTTGGCATAGAGGCAGATTGAAGGAACGTCTTGATAGAGTTTGTGCGAATGAGCAGTGGCAATTGTCCTTTCCTGACAGGGTTGTGACTCATCTTCCCTGCTACTGCTCGGATCATAGACCTCTTCTTCTCTGGGAGGGTCCTTCTCCTCACCATCCTGGAGGGAGCCGTCCATTTAGATTTCTGGCAGCCTGGCTCACTCATGAGGATTTCCCTGGCCTAGTGCAAGAGTGTTGGAATGGGAGTACAGGTTGGGGCACAGCTAATGAAACTTTTCGATCGAATGCTTCTCACTGGCATAGGGAGTGCTTTAGGGAAGATGCCAAGCTTAAGAATAATCTTCAGGCGAGACTAAGGGGTATTGACCGTAGTCTTAGTCACCATCCTTGCCATGCTCTAGAAATTCTGCAGAAAGATCTTTGGCGTCAGTTGAATCTCATTTATATTCGGGAGGATCTTACTTGGTTTCAGCGGTCTAGGGCTAGCTGGAAAATATGGTGACCGGAATACGAAATTCTTCCATTCTACTACAGCTGCTAGGAGGAGGAGAAATCGTATTGATGCTCTGAAAAATGATGCGGGTGATTGGATTGGTGATCCCTCTATTCTGATGAATATGGCGGTGGAGTATTATCGTAATTTGTTTAAAGAGGATAATACTGCTAGACCTGGGCTTCCAATTAGAGGCTATTTTCCTCACCTTGTGCAAGAGCACAACATTCATATTGGTAGCATTCCTTCGAATGAGGAGATTAGGAGTACAGTTTTTTCCATGGGACCTCACAAAGCTCCAGGGGTGGACGGTCTTCATAGTCTATTTTTCCAATCTCAATGGGATACTGTAGGAAGCTCTGTTTGTGATCTGGTGAAAGATGTGTTTAATAATCCCCAAAAAGTTCGGGATATTAATCAAACTCTTATTTTCCTGATCCCGAAGATAACTTCACCTCAATCCCTTAAAGATTTCCGGCCTATTAGCCTTTGTAATGTTATTTATAAGACTATTACTAAGCTTATTGCTAACCGTTTGAAATTGCAGATGGATAAAATTGTTATGCCTAACCAGTGTAGTTTCATCAAAGGAAGGCAAGGGACAGATAATGTAATTATTGCTCAGGAAATTATTCACTCTATGAGGTCAAAGAAAGGCGCCAAAGGTTGGATGATGATTAAGGTGGATCTGGAGAAAGCTTATGACAGAATTAGCTGGGACTTTCTCCGAGATACTCTTCAGGATGTGGGACTCCCCCCAAATCTCATTAATCTTGTTATGTGGTGTGTTTCTTCTTGTTCGATGAATGTTCTTTGGAATGGTTCTACAACTCAGGAGTTTTTCCCATCCAGGGGGCTTAGAAAGGGTGACCCTTTGTCCCCATATTTATTTATTCTTTGTATGGAGCGACTTGGTCATCTCATTTCCCATGCAGTTAGGCAAAAGTGCTGGAAGCCGATCATGTTGAGGAGAAATGCTCCTCCCATTTCTCACCTCTTTTTTGCGGATGATCTTATTCTTTGTGCGGATGCATCCTTTGATCAGGCCCAAACCATTTCCAAGGTGCTAGATGATTTTTGTCTTTCTTCTGGGCAAAAGGTTAACCATGAAAAAACAAAAATTCTCTTCTCCCACAATGTGAATCATATTTTGGCAGAGGAACTTAGTGGTGAGTTGGGCTTCTCAAGGACGGTGGATCTTGGAAAGTATTTGGGTATTCCTCTTCATCATCGCAGAGTTGGGAGGGCGGCTTTCAGTCATATCCTCGATCGAGTTCAATCTAGGATTAATGCCTGGAACCACACCAGTCTTTCTCTAGCAGGAAGAATTACACTTTCGAAAGCTGTTCTCTCAGCTATTCCAGCCTACACAATGCAAGTTTCTGTTGTTCCTCTCGGAATCTGCAATGATATTGAGAAACATATTAGGAGGTTTTTGTGGGGTTCTAATAGAGCATCTACTCGTCCTCATCTGGTTGCGTGGGATCAGTTGTGCATGGATAAAGATCATGGAGGGCTGGGTCTGAGGAAAATGAAGGAAGTTAACAGGGCTTTTATTATGAAAATTGGTTATGGGATCCTTTCTAATCCAGACGCGCTTTGGGCTAGAGTTTTAAAGACCAAGTATAAAGTTCAGTCTGATTTGGTTCCTAATATTTCTGCTACTCGGAATAGCTCCTCTCTTTGGAAAGCAATTGTTTCGTCTTGGCCTGTGATATTACAGCATTCCAGAATTTTGCTAGGTAATGGAAATTCTACTCATTTTTGGGATGACCCGTGGGTTCCGGGTTATGGTGCACTCTCATCCTATGCTGCTATTTCTGATCCCTCTCAGATAAATCATCAGCTAATGGTCTCTGATCTTGTCTCATCCTCCGGAAGTTGGATGTGGGGGGCTTTCCAGCATAGTCTTCCCGATCACGTCAATGCTCGTATTAATAACATCCTTCCTCCTTCGGATGTTAATGGTCATGACCGAATTTTGTGGACAAGGACATCTGATGGGAGTTATTCGCTGAAGTCCGCTTATATGGCCATATCCAGGGGTAACGAGGAATCTACCAATTTACCTTGGAATCACGTTTGGCAGTGGCATGGACCTGAACAGATTCGTACGTTCCTTTGGCTGTTGTTAGGAGATAAAATTTTGACAAATGAAAGGCGTTGCAGACGGCACATGGCGGGTTCAGATATATGTCATCTGTGCAATTGTTTTACGGAAACTTCCTTACATGCGGTTAGAGATTGTATTGCAGCAAAAAAAGTGTGGGAGATTGCAGTTAAGCGAGAGGCTTGGGAGGATTTTTTCTCTCTTAATCTTCAGCAATGGGTGTTGTCCAATATCTCTGAGGATCGTAATTGGTCCAATTTGCCATCATGGCCTCTTCTGTTTGGTATCATTTCCTGTTTCATTTGGCAAGCTAGGAATAAGAAAATTTTTCAGGGATCTTCTGTTCCTGCTTATGGCACTTTTAGAGCTGCTATGGTCTATGGTGAAGATTTTTCTTGGTCAGAAAACACGCTTCGGGTTACTGGTCTTGAGACTAACTCGAATAAAGAGAAATTAGTTTCTTGGGTTTTTCCTTCGGACCCTTGGGTTAAGCTCAATGTGGATGGGTCAAGTATGAATAATGGAGAAGCTTCTGCTTGTGGGGGTGTATTTAGGAATGCTAGTGGAAGGTGGCTTGTTGGCTTTTGTAAAAATCTTGGCTGTGGTAATGTTTTGTTAGCAGAACTTTGGGGTTGTCTCCTTGGGCTTGAGATTGCATGGAGGAAAGGTTTCCGTTTTGTCTGGCTTGAAAGTGATTCCTTAGTAGCCCAGTTTTTCATAAGAGAAGGGTGCAGCTCTCATCATCCAGCCTCTAACTTGGTCTTGCGCATAAGGAATATGCTGGATTGGAATTGGAGGGTTAGAATTTCCCATATTCATAGGGAAGGGAATGGGGTTGCTGATTGGATGGCCTCTTTTGCCTACTCCTTTGGTTGGTCTTTACAAGAGTTTGACTCGCCTCCTTCTGGTTGTCGTGACAAACTTGAAAGGGACTATGTAGGAGTAGTTTGGTCTAGGAGGTGTTCCTAGTTTCTTTTTTTGTTTTTATGTTTCCTGTTTGCTTTTCAAAAAAAACTTTAGTACTACCCTTTTATTGAGCACTATAATTCGTATTTTGGGAAGTATGTAATTATAATATTAAATTTTTTTTTCTTTCTTTTGTGTTAGCTAATAAGTTTCTGGAAAAAAAATAACTTTAATGTTATAAGTATGTATTTTCCGAAATATATATTTATAATACTACCATCGCACTAAGTGATGATAGTACTAAAGTTTTATTCTCAATCGTCAAGTTATGCCTCATTGGCGCGAGCACATTTCGGTGTTTAGGAAATAGGCATTTTCTTTATTAAAGGAAAAAAAAGATATAAAAAGAAATAATCGTAAAAGTAGGGATAATGTAAATGTGTTATTTTTTGAGTAAATACTATTTTGGATCCTTAACAAAAAACAAGGAATCCATTTTAATCCTTTAGAAAAAAAAGTATCTATATTAGTCCTTTTTTATGGACTAATATGAGTCTTCTTTGAATTTTTGAGGGAGCACAATTTCAAAGAATTGAAATTTTAGATGAACAACAAATCGATTTTTTTGTTCAAGGGATTAAAATAAATTTCGTGTTTTTTGTTGAGGATCCGAAAAAGTATTTACTCTTATTTTTTTATATTTGATAAAAAATGTAACCAGTATTCATATAACCCTAAAAGGAAATTACGATTAAGCTAAGAGTTTTACTTTGTATATTTGACTTTGTTAACCTATGGATTTTAATTACCAACATCGATTAAAATCATCATTTCTATAAGCAAAATACCATATATATATATTTTACGAAAAGAACACGACACAATCACTTAAACCTTCACATAACTCTCAGAGTAGGCTTCCTAGGCTAATACAAACGAAGTCCAGAGCAAGACATAACAAAAAATAACATAACAGAACATGCGAGTTTTAAAGAACGAAATTCACAACTGGCAAATCCATCAGGTTTGAAACGTTGCTGCCACCAATGCAAGTCCAAGTGACACCCATTTTCCATACACACCAATCTTCACAGCGGCAGAGTTCACTTCAGAGGGGTTAACCTGTGATGAATCAGAGGATGATGCAGTATCCTTATCAGGTTTAGGTGCCTTTGCAGTATCAGCAGAAGGCTCTGGTGCCAAAGACGGTGCTTTTGATGGTGCCTTAGCAACTGCAAAGAAATCCGAAGGAAGAAGTACCTTTCCCACTTTATAAATAGCAAGATGCTTATCCGAATATATTATACCATTGATGGTAGTGTTAACCTCCCCTGTTGATATGTTCACACTCCCACCATAACTTACCACGTTCAGTTCCACCTTTCCTGGTTTAGCACCTGCCAGTGTTCTCACAGGGTTTGTCAGAGTATCAAAGTTTGAGCTAGACACATAATCTGAAATAACGTGGAACTGTAAGAGTTCAAGCTTTTGTCCGTCAGAAAGAGAGTTGAGGAACCCTGCTTTGAGTTCTGAGAAGGCACTGTCATCTGGTGCTAGAATGGTTAAGCCACCAGATTTTGTAGTTACAAGCTGTGCATTGAGTTGGTTGATCAATTGGGTGGTTTTCATTAGACGAATTAGAACATTGAATGACTTGGCTTTCCTCAAAATTCCCACAATGTCAATGGCTGCATTGTCAGGGGTGCTATCACTTGGTGATTGTGGTAATGATGGAACCAATGGTTTAGGTGCTGCAGCTGGTGGGGTAGTGGTAGATTGTACTGGAGCTACAACTGGTGATTGGGCTAGAGTGTTGGTGGAATACAAGAGGGAAAGTAGTAGTGCTAGTGAGAAGGGCAAGAGAAATTGCTTCTTCAACATCATTTTAGATTTTGGTGAATGGAGGTTCTTGTGCTTATGGATAGGAATGCAAATGGTTGGAATTGTACTTACAATGAGTACTTGATACATTGATGATATGCAGGAGATGGCTATTTATAAAGGCTGGAAGACTATGATAGGTAGGTGAAAGGCTTTGTTGGAATACCTTAAATTGTGATTTGTGAACATATATCTTGGTACGTGGCAAGGAGATTAAGGTATTGCATCAATGAAGGTGGGTATGGGAGTAACAGATTTGGGTGATGGAGCAGTAAGTTCTTGCTTCAAGGGCCACCCCAAACATGCTCTCATAATCAAATAGTGATTGAATGAAAGGATGTTGTATTGAAACATCTTACTTAGATTTTAAATGACAAACGCTCAAGGAGATATAAATTATCAACTTTAATTTATTGACAAAACCACCGTACTATTAGGTAAAAGATTTTTTAAGATAAAATACATTTTTTATGTTCTGCCAAATTTTAATGGTGCGGGATTGATCCTATATCAATTAAGTTCGCATTTGACTACATTAGTTTGGTAAAATATATGAAATATGTTTTTTTTATAAGTTATGAAATATGCTTTAATTGGGCAAATCTTTACCCAATAGTCTTAGTAGAGTGCTTTTGACTGAATGTATGCAATAACTTTAAGAAATATGATTAAACATGGACAATAGTTTGACATATATAAGATTAAGGATCCGTTTGGATGATCTTTTTTATTCCTTCCAAAAGCTGCTTTTTTTAAGGAGAAAAATACTTCTCACTCTAAGTTCGTTTGGATGTCTGGTTAAAAAAAAAAGTCACAAAAAAGTTAAAAATTTACCTTTTTTTAAGGTAAAAATATTTAGCTTCTAAAAAAATTAAAATAAAAAACCAGATATTTTTATTAAAATCTAAATAACTTTAATCTTTATAAAAATTACTTTTAAAATAAGTAAAAGATAAAAATTTAAAAGTGCAAACAAATGGGCTCTATCTATGTTAAAAATGCACCTATTTTTCATAGATTATTACTTTAAATGTATATGAGAAGATGTATCTACATTCTTGGAAACAATTTTTGTTTTGCCCTCTTAGCTACACCTGTCCTCTTCAAAAGCAGTGTTTTAAAACTTCACCCCGCTTCCCAGGTTGACCCGGATCAACCTAACCCCTCCCCTATGAGGGTTGTGGTCACAAGTTGGACCCTATATACATATTGACCCTTCCGACCCCCAAAACCCGGCCGAGTTTCAGTGACTCCCGGGCCAAAGAGATCAAAGGGGGTCACTGCCTGTTTTTTTTAAAGAAAATTTCATAAAACAACATCGTTTTATTAAAAAAAATAAAAAATAAAAATGCTTGCAAACTTAAATGGTATCTTGGTGGGCTTGAATTTGATGATGTTACTTTTCAATAACTCTATTAGAATATGAGTTTTGTACTTTGGTATTTTGATATTTTAATTAGGTTGTGTAATATTGACTTGTGTTGTAATTATGTTAAGTATATTTTAAATCTTTGATGATGAGTGATTTATTTTTTAATATTTTCATATATATATATATATTTATTTATTTATATTTTTTTAATATATAAAATCGCGCGTAGTGACCTCTTAACCCCTCAATTAAACTCGTGACCTCTGACCTTGGCCGGGTCAATGACCGAGCCGAGTTTTTAAACACTGCTCAAAAGATAAGTTACGCAGGTTGATATTTTACAGGTGAAAAAAATTTAAAAAAATTCCACTCGTGTAGTAGGGGAATGCACCTTAATAGAAAATTTATTTATACCGAACATCTCATGCTTCCGTGATAATTACAAAATAGACCCTGGAAAATCTTTGATTATGCCACTGCAGAACTGGGATCGAGGAGAACAATCTCACCTACCTATCGATGGATCTGGAACAAATTTACTACCATGTCATAAGTTGGTAATTAATCGGGAAAATATTACTCTCATTTTACATGAGATAATTATTTTATTTTTTCTTACTTCGAAAATCACACTCTATCTTTTTTCTTTTTCTTTTTTGTTTTTTAATGGTGGGCCCTACTTGAATTATCTCTATAGCATGAGAGAACTAATCTCATGTAATATGAGACTAATATTCCCCAATTAACAAAAGTCTTATTTGATAGAGGTTGAACTCATTCAGGCATACAACCTAATACACATGGATAAATTCTTGATTTATCATATTTTAAGGGATTAAAATATGCGAATTAACTTCTAAATCTAATTAAACAACATAAAAACTTACAGTTATTTGATTAAGGTCCAGTTATAATATTGTTTTTAAAAACAATTTTTTGATTTTCAAAATAAAAAAAAACTTGTTTGATAAGGTTTATTTTGTAAAAAAAATAAAAAAATTGTAACTGTTTTTTTTTTTAGAATCAAATTTAGAGAACATGTCCGAGTTGTTTTTGTTTTGTGTTTTGATTTTAACTTTCAAAACAAAAGAATATAGAAAACACTTGTTAACATAACTATTCTACAAAATAATTTTAAGAACAAAAAAATCAGAACACAATCAAACAGACCCAAATGCCATAACTTAACTATGGAAAATATTGCAAGGTCTGAGTAATTCTTGCATTTTTGTTGATAAATTAAGCTAATTAAAGCAAGGATGTGCTTGGATGAGACACGGAGAATGGGGAGTCAAGAAAGCATATCTATGATTAAGGAGGAAAATCATGATGATTAGGAGAGTTTTGAACAAGCATTTTCACGAAAGTAATGTTTCCAAACATAAGAAAACCTCCATGAAGTTGTCTTTTGGCCAATTTTTCATATATCAAAGACGACACATTTGGATCTTATTGTATATAAGTTTTAGATCAATCTCTTATCTTTTCAACGAGACCAAAATCGCATCAATTGGATGAGTACGACTCAAGTTATACCCAAAACACGAAAGCAATGTGTATGCACGCCAAAATGACTAAATCGAGTGCTAAACCAAAGTGTGAGGATATCATGAAGTTTCGGCCAACAGTACACCAAAGTGCCCAAATTGCATGCTAAAGCTCTTCGATTGTAAAAAGAGCGTAAAGTTATGTTTAGATACATAGTCCCACATTGGTTGGAGTTTATAAGGCCTTGGGTACTCCCACCCTTCGAGCTAGCTTTTATGGTAGTGTATTCCAAAGTTCTTTACAAGTTACTGCTGACATATTAAGGCGCCAATTCTACACACTTAAGCCTCTGCATTCGCGAGAAACATAGCCTATTCAAATATAAAAAATGCCAAAGAAAGGTTGTTCCTTATAAATAAGAGGCCAATATTAGAGTTAAAGATCTCTGAACCGCGAAATTACCTTGGTGTATGTTTGAGAGCTCTGAAGACACTTGGAAGACAAGATCAGGTGGTGGATATGCAAAGATTCACTACATGCCATGGAGTTTAGGGAAGCCTTTTCTGTTCTTTTTGTTTTTTATCTTGTCATGTCTAACTAAATTTTTTTGTAGTTAGTGTTAGATTGTTTAATTGAATCTTGTTGACAATTGTTCTTTTGATTTTATGATTATGTTAATTATTCTCATTTTTTATGCTTTCTCTGTGTCACAACTTTGGGGATTGATTATCGATTATGTATTGCAATAGGGATGTATGTGCATAACTCTAACCTATGTAATTAACCATAACTCGTAATCGATCTAGGAATAGACGAGGAAAGTTGTATGATCAAGCTAATTGTCAATGCTTAGGGGTGTATTGGATTGGAATTTCAAAAGATTTTAATGAATTTTTTTTGTACAAAAAAATCTATTGGTATTCAATTAGGATTTTTTTTTCAATTAAGATTTTAATGGATTGAGAAAAAGTCATGTGGTATTCGATTAGGATTTTAAAAAATTATTTTAGAGTCCATCCAAATCCGTTGGTATTCAATCAAGATTTTAAACAATGGAAAAGCAATCTTGTGTTGTGGTATTCGAAAATCTAACAATTTTATTGGATTTTCCATTGGCACGAATTTCGTGAGACTTTTTAGTAAGAAATATAAATAAGATGTCTCTCTCACAATCTCACCCTAAACCCCTAGGATTTCTTGAAATTTATCTATTGCAGTGTTTTCTTCTTCCTTTAACAGGTTGACCTGCTCAAAATCGGGTTCCACCATGGGAGCTTCGTCAAAACTCATAAAAAGCATATTTTTTTAGCGATTTTCATTACAAACAACCGAGAAACAACAAACCAACGAGATTTTAATATAATCTATCTCAAAATTAACATATTTTTGAGACATTTTTTAGAAATTTTGGAAGTTTAAAAAGAGATTATTCAAGTTATGGGTCGCGGTTTTCTTCGCACAAAAAGGTGTTATTTTTATATTAAAAATAACATAAAACAGTGAAAAAATAATAGGGGAACTAAATTCTCAAACCAATTTTCATTTTACATCAATGAAACAATATCAATTTAAAGAAAGATTGAAACTTTCATAGTATGAACCCTACATCTCATAACAATACATTCATGAATAAAATTTCTTCACTATAGAAAATGATTTCAAACAATTTTTGTGTCAATAGATAATTAAAAACTTGTTTTTCAAAAGTCCCAAAGCAATTTAAGGTTTCAATGTATCGATTGAAAAAAATTGGAGAAATTTTCTAAACTTTCATGTAATAAAACCCAAAAATTCATATCCAAAATTTTCTTAGAATATTCAATGAAAATATGCATATGATATATGGTTAGAAAACTCTCATCGCGTAGAACAAAAATCACAAGTTTTTCAAGATCAATCGTGAAAAATTTCAAACGAAATTTTATCATGAACTTTAGGTTCTATATGCAAATTTAGAATTATTTTAATAATTAAAAAAATTTGGGTCATATAATCATATATGCATAGCTTTGAAAACAAATGAATAAGATAATTTTCAACTCATTGGTCAAATCCAAGAGCAGGAACAAGAAAATGCTAATGCATGAGGACTAGTATAACTTTAGATATGTGAAAAGCTGTTATTTAATAATTTTGAATATTTGTTAAAAATTATATTATGTTTTACTGATTAAAAAAATTATATTAGGTTTTACTTTTTTTTATTAATTTCATTGCATTTCATTGTTATTTTTTTACGGAAAAAGTTATACTTTCAACCTATTTTTATTTACAATCTTTTACAATCATATCTTAACCATTGATTTTCGTTAATCTACGATTATTATTTTATTAAATCAAACTCATTAATTAATATTCATCGATTAAAATCATCATTTCTATAAGCAAAATACCATATATATTTTACGAAAAGAACACGACACAATCACTTAAACCTTCACATAACTCTCAGAGTAGGCTTCCTAGGCTAATACAAACGAAGTCCAGAACAAGACATAACAAAAAATAACATAACAGAACATGCGAGTTTTAAAGAACGAAATTCACAACTGGCAAATCCATCAGGTTTGAAACGTTGCTGCCACCAATGCAAGTCCAAGTGACACCCATTTTCCATACACACCAATCTTCACAGCGGCAGAGTTCACTACAGAGGGGTTAACCTGTGATGAATCAGAGGATGATGCAGTATCCTTATCAGGTTTAGGAGCCTTTGCAGTATCAGCAGAAGGTTCTGGTGCCAAAGACGGTGCTTTTGATGGTGCCTTAGCAACTGCAAAGAAATCCAAAGGAAGAAGCACCTTTCCCACTTTATAAATAGCAAGATGCTTATCCGAATATATTATACCATTGATGGTAGTGTTAACCTCCCCTGTTGATATGTTCACACTCCCACCATAACTTACCACGTTCAGTTCCACCTTTCCTGGTTTAGCACCTGCCAGTGTTCTCACAGGGTTTGTCAGAGTATCAAAGTTTGAGCTAGACACATAATCTGAAATAACGTGGAACTGTAAGAGTTCAAGCTTTTGTCCGTCAGAAAGAGAGTTGAGGAACCCTGCTTTGAGTTCTGAGAAGGCACTGTCATCTGGTGCTAGAATGGTTAAGCCACCAGATTTTGTAGTTACAAGCTGTGCATTGAGTTGGTTGATCAATTGGGTGGTTTTCATTAGACGAATTAGAACATTGAATGACTTGGCCTTCCTCAAAATTCCCACAATGTCAATGGCTGCATTGTCAGGGGTGCTATCACTTGGTGATTGTGGTAATGATGGAACCAATGGTTTAGGTGCTGCAGCTGGTGGGGTAGGGGTAGATTGTACTGGGGCAATCGTTGGTGATTGAGCTAGAGTGTTTGTGGAATACAAGAGGGAAAGTAGTAGTGCTAGTGAGAAGGGCAAGAGAAATTGCTTCTTCAACATCTTCTTAGATTTTGGTGAATGAAGGTTTTGATGATATTGTAAAGATGTTCAAATGGTAGGAATTGTACTTGCAATGAGCACTTGATGCATTGATGATATGGAGGAGTAGGCTTTTATTGAGGCTGGGAGAGAATGACAGGTAGGTGAAAGGCTTTGTTGGTTGTGATTTGTGAACATATATCTTGGTATGTGGCAAGGAGATTAAGGTATTGCATCAATGAAGATAGATACGGGGATAAGAGATTAGAGTGATAGAGCAATGAGTTCTTGCTTGAAAGGGACATGAAAAATAGTGGGAGAGGCAGAGTTTGATAGGATGTGAGCAGATACAGCAATCACTTGCCCGAATGTGTTGCGAGGTGTCTTATACTCTCATTATCCGACAAGGAGATTATGGTGAAGATTGAAACGTTAGAAAAAGTGAGAGCTTAATTGAATGTAAAGGAGTTAGATGGGTGTATATGTTGCTTTCAATTAGGATCAATGTAAAATCCATCCCTTTAGTTTTAGCTCTTAAAAACTCATACCATTCGCTTTCAATCAGGAGATCGATGGTAATTATTAATTGGGTGTCTACTAATAAAATATGGTTATGAGAATGTGCTGCCTTGTAGTTAAAAAGAGTATTCAAATTCTTTATAAATTCATTTACAAGTTCTTTTCCAAAAAATTCATGGGAGATGTTAGTTGCACATAATTTGGTGTTATATCACTTCTCATACCATTTTCTTTGCACAAATTAAAATAGGTTTATGACTTCATGACTCATGAGAATGGTGCACTTGCTTGTACTGAATGTATTTCGCAGTTTAACCAATTTTATTGCAATGTTAGAAATACTTTACACCAATGATATTCGAATATTACTACCTTGTTTTTTTCACAGCACATTGCACAACCACCAATTAGTGAGTTAAGGAAATGAGCAATTATCAACAATGCCTGCTGTTGTTACCTTTTGGGCTTTGTCACCCAAAGTCACACAGAGTGCACCGGTGATATTAAAAATGGTTTATTCGATTATAAGTGTAAAGATTTCAGTAAAACCTGTTATTTATCTACTACGTCTTGTTTTGAAGGAGTAAGTGTAGTTCCACTTTAAATTTTATATATCTCATTTGTTTGGGCGAATAATTTAAATGGGTACCATCACATGCAATTGACATTGTCATAAAAATTATGTATATGTAACAACTAATAGTGTACGTATGATCATAGTTATATAATCCAGAGGTTAACTCGGTCATTAGCACAGGTCACCAAGTTAGCAATTTGACTAAAGAAATTTTTTTTTTCTTTAAAAAGAATATTACATATAAAAAAATATTTTATAAAACAAGTATTGTATGACGTAATTGTGTTTTAAAACAAGGTAAGTTGGATAATGGTATTAATAAACTTAGAATATAACTTAATGGAAACATTAGTAGGATAATGCACACTTACATCAATCCTTAACGTATTATATTTGTTCTCGGCCCTCTCATGTAGGATTTTGGGTCCAATCCATGTACGGCTCAAGAGACCCAACAATCAAGATTTAAAGGCTAACAAGGATTAGTCTTTAGCTATCAGTTGATAAATATCTTTGAGGGAACTAAAACAAAAAAAAAGGAAACACGTCTATCCTACATTGATGTTGTCCCGCAGGCGTAGCCCATAAATAGACATCCTGCATACGAAATAGGTTGCAAAAATCACATTCGTCCATCAATGAGACTAAGTGCCACCATACTAAACCGGCATAAGCTGGACATCCACCTAACATATAATGGAGGCTTGAAGTTCGGGTATAATCATCTGAATCATTTCTACTTGAGAGTCAAAGTGCTGTACAGTTACCTCACATTTGTCCCAGCCAAACAAGGTTATACAACCCCAATTCATCAATCTTGCATAAGTATCCCACAGCGATATCCATTCCGGATAAGTCTCTCTCATATTGTTATTGAACTAGACTCAACCATATGTGATCCAACCCAATATTTCTCGGACCGATCATTATTCAAATGTAAGAAGTAGTTTTTTTCTAAAAAGTTAACCAAGTATGATTTAAAAGTTACAAAGTTATTTTTTTTCAATATATATATATATATATATATATATATATATATATATATATAAATAAACATTTCTAGAATCACTTTAGATAAGATTATCTACAGCTACCATTTATAACTATTCTCTCCCAGGAGAACATAGTTATAACATTAAAGTTGCTTTTTTTTTTTCTCTCCTCAATTACTTTTCAGAACTTGTTTGCTGATGTGGAGAGAGAGAGAAAAAAGCAACTTTAATGTTATAATTATGTTCTCCCAGGAGAACATAGCTATAAATGATAACGGTAGATAACATTATCTAAAGTGGCTGTAGAAATATTTTTTCTATATATATATATATATATATATATATATATATATATATATATATGGGATTATGTTTATCTCATTTTACATGAGATAAACAACTCTCCTACACACACAAAAAGGAATTGGGTCCCACCACTCTTTTTTCTCTCTCCTCTTACCTGGGGGTCCCACTTATACTTTTATTTCTACAACATGAGATATTTTTTTTCGACAACATAAGAAAAATATATCCCTATATATATATAGGAAAAAAACATTTATCAAGTTGTTTGAGATAATTTTATCTCCGGCTCCTTCAAAACTACGTCGTTTTGTTTATTTTTTTTATATATATATTAATTCACATTTGAATGGTTATGATTCCTTCTTTCTCTCTCTTCCTTTATCACTATTGATATATATATATATATATATATATATATATATATGATGGGAATAAAGTTCCAACCTATAACATTAAATAAAGTACACAAATCCCTCACTATTATACCAGTCTTTGATTAATATGATTTCATCATTTTTAATTTTTTATTATATTAAAAAAATCCGTTAGTATGTGCGTTACACAAACTGAGAGTAATTCTTTTCCTCTCCCATTGATCCCTTTCTTCTTTTCCTGTCATTCTCTTTCTTTCTTTCTTGTTTTTCTATATATAAATTCATTCTTCTTTATTTAATCCAATTATTCAATTTTAGTAGTCTACTGAACTCCATACTGTCCTTAACTGTAAGGACATTCGCCTTTCCATGTCCCAACCCCGGAATCCCAAAGCATGAAAAGCTTTCAAATAAGCAATAAATCAATTGGAAGTAACGCAATTGTTTAAGTACCAACTTACTCAACTCAAATCAATTTTTTTTTTACAAGAAAACAAGAGAATTAAGCAAGGACACACGTCCTCTTCATAACGCCAACACACAAGAAACAGACATCAAAATTTAAATTAAAAAAAAAAAAAAAAAAAAAAAAAAGCAAAAAGAAAGAAAATGGTGTGCTTGACATAGAAAACAGAAAATGCAGCTGCCAAATGGGTCTTCTTTCTTCAAGTCCACATCATTGCTACAACAACTAAAACCATCCCAAGTGACATCAACGTTGTTCCACGAATGTTAATCAAACTCACTGCTCCAGATTTATCCTGGTCCTGGTTTGTTTCATCTTGATCTTCTGCTGATGAGTTCTCCTTAGCAGCTTTTGGAGCCTTTGCAAGAGATGGAGCCAAAGCTGGAGCCTTTGTTACAAAAAAATCGAGGGGTAGAAGCACCTTGTCCAAACGATAAATGGCAAGCTTGTTATCCGAGTAAACAACCCCTACAATGGTGGCATTGACCACCCCAGTTGAAATGTTCACACTGTTACCTAATGCATTCACATTCAGTGGCAACCTTGTCGGGTCTTTACCAGCCACTGTTTGAACAGGGTTGCTCAGAGAATCAAAGTTTGTGCTTGATACATACTCGGGTAGAATGTGGAATTGTAATAGCTCTATCTTTTGACCTTCGTTTAAGGAGTTGAGGAACCCTGCTTTAAGGCTTGAAAATGCAGCATCATCTGGGGCAAGGATGGTTAAGCCACCACTCTTGGCTGTTATGAGTTGTGAGTTGATGTTGTTCATAATTTCGGTGGTTTTAAGGAGGCGAATTAGGACTGAGAATATTCTGGCCTTTTTGAGGATTCTGGTGATGTCATCTGGGACAGAATCAGAGGAGTCTGGAGATTGAGGTAATGTTGGAACTAATGGTTTTGGAGATGGTGCTGTGGCCTTTGGGGTAGGGGGAGTTTTTTTGGGGGCTTTTGGGGCTGCAGCAGGAGCAGGTGAAATGGCCAAGGTGGTGGAAGAAAAGAGTAGGAAGAGTGAGAAGGAGAAAAGAGCTACTTGTTTCATCTTCAAGTTGCTTTGGCTTTTGATGTTTTTCTGGAAGAATGTGAATGATTGGAATGCTTCTTGTAATTTGTGTTTGCTGTGTGGGATGTGTGGAGGAGAGGTGTTATATAGAGGGCCAAGGAAATGATAGGTTGGTGAAATGTTATGGTTGTGAAATTTGTAGTTGTGTTAATGTGAAGGTATATCTCATCTGTCATGGAGAATAAGGATCTTTTATCTAATTATTGTTGGCATCTTTGTCTTTAGATGATATGAATTGGGGTAAATATTGAGTTTGGATATGGTGAGATGAGAATGGACATATGAGATACCTCCTGCAACTGTAATGTATATCTGAAAGATGTAATTTAATAACATGGAACAGTAAATAGAGAATGAGCCTTTGATATAGCCAGAGTGTATAAATAAATTCATGCAATTCAGCAATTTTGGGAGTTTGGATTTCTGTAATTGAATTGGAACTCTTCCTACTCCCATTGTGCACTTCCACTTCCAATTCCAATGATATTAGTTGGGAGAAGGTTGATTTTTTTTTTCTCTGGATTAATATCAAATTATATGAATAATATTGCCCTTTAGAAGACTTTAGAATACACTAGGTTCCTGATACATGTTAATAGAAGTAATTCAAGGAGACTTCAAAGCTTTTAATATTTTTTTTTTCATATTGAAACTTTTTAAGATTCAGATATGTTTTGAAGATAAAAAAAAACACATAAAAAGTTCACATTTAAGATTGAACATTCACCTGTCCATAAATAATATAAAGACATCATAATTTTTTTCAAATCACAAATGAAGATATATATATATAGGGGCAGGATTATCTTACACTGGTGTAAGAATAATAAGATTTACACCAAATCTTAACTATTGATTTTCTGCATCTAACGGTTAAGATTTATTAGGTCTTACTCATTAATTAGTTTTTAATTTCCAATAAATCTCAATCGTTAGATGCACAAAATCAACGGTTAAAATTTGGTGTAAGATTTATTATTCTTATACCGGTGTAAGTTGATCCTATCCCATATATATATATATATATATATATATATATATATATATATATATGGGTAAGGATCATTTTACACCAGTGTAAGTTATACTCTTAATCTTGTCCATTGATCTCATTTATATTTAAGGGCTCAAATTTTTTAGTAATGTGAGCCATTGGATACAAGTTGATCAATGGTCAAGATTGAGTGTAAGACTTCTAACTCTTACACCGGTGTAAGAATATCTTGCCCATATATATATATAGGCTTAACATTTCTCAAGCTGCCGAAGATAACTTTATCTCCGGCTACTAAATCATAACAGTACAAAGATGGATCAATGGTGATAAAGGAAGAGAGAGAAAAAAGAAATCATAACCATTCAAAGGTGAATCAATAAATATAAGGAAATAAATAATCAAAACGACGTATAACCGTAGTTTTGGGGTGGCCGGAGATAAACTTATATCAAACAGTTTGAGAAATGTTTTTCCCTTTATATATATATATATATATATATATATATAGAGAGAGAGAGAGAGGAAGGATCCGTTTACAAACTTTTTTTACAAATTTTTGTAAATTACATTATGTACTCCCAGGAGAACATAGTGTAACCTAGTGTTCTTCCGGGAGAACAAGTGTAGTTTGTAAGATTTTGTAAATAAAAAGTTTGTAAATATAACATTCCTTATATATATATATATATATATATGTATATATATATATATATATATATATATAAGATATTCTTACATCGGTGTAAGAATAAGAAGTCTTACATCAAATCTTGGTCATTGATTTGCTTCCATCTAATGGCTCAAATATCTAATAAATTAGAAGCGGTAGATATAAATAATATCAGTAGCTAAGATTAAGAGTGTAATTTACACTGGTGTAAAATGATCCTGACATATATATATATATATATATATATATATATATATATATATATATATATATATATATATGGGTAAAGCATTTCTCCGGCCAATGGAGATAAGTTATCTCGGTGAGCACAAAACGATGTCGTTTTGTGACAGAAATCAATGTATTTTTGTAATTCTAATTTATTGCAGGGTTATATTAGTCTTTATCATTATAATTTTTTGAGTAAATATCATTTTTGGTCCTTAGCAAATTTTACGATGCCCGCTTTAGTACTTAGCAAATAAAAATGCTCATCGTGGTCCTTAAGAAATTCAAAATTGACCCATTTTAGTCCTTTTAAGGGACTAATATGAGTCTTTATTGAATTTATGATGGACCACGATTTCAACTAAATGGGATCCATTTTGAATTTCTTAAGGACCACGATAGGCCTTTTTATTTGCTAGGGACTAAAGCGGGCATCGTGAAATTTGCTGAGGATCAAATATGGTATTTACTCTAATTTTTTAATCTTATAACCCAAAACGATGTCATTTTGGACTCACTGGAGATAACTTTATCTCAGTGACCGGAGAAACTACGTCATTTTGGGTGGGATAAAGAAAGTTTGCGTTCAAAATTAATTGTAGAAAATAAAAATATTATATTGATTTTCACCTTTCTATGGTTATGATCTTTCATATTTAATGTTTTATATTTATTTCAATTTTTGTATGGTTATGATTCCCTATATTTAATGCTTTCACACTATAAAATTACATAGTTTTATATCACTGCACCAATCCTTAGGTGCAGTCACTGTACATCTGCTATATATATATATATATATATATATATATATATATATATATATAAATATATAAGGAAAACATTTTCTCATGTTGCATGGAAATTCAATTCTCTTGTTGTGATCATTCGATCGTGCAAAGCTTTTCTTTTCTTTTTCTTTTTTTAATAAATGTGGGGCCAACCACTAATTGAGTCACAACATAAGAATTCAATTTTCATGCAACATAAAAAAATCAAACCCCTTAGCTTATATTCAATATTTTTTTTTGTACTATGTGTACATAAGTCGTACAAGTTGACATAATAATAACAATCACTAACATCAACATTAAACATGACATTTGAAGATAGTGAACTGACGTTGCAAATTTAAGTGATATGTGGTAAGAAGTTGCCTCACCCCAAGTATATGTATATCTAAGAATCACTGTGTGAAACAGCAGTGTGGCTAAGAATATAGGAATTTGTAATTTTAAACCTTTTTTAGGTAATTTTTTTTGAGAGAAACACAATTTTCAATATTTATTCTCTTTTTCATTTCTTAAAATGAAAGTGTAAGCCTTAAGTATAAATTGAAACATATGTATAGGTTCGCTTTTTTTGCAGTTACTGCAGATAATTTATATGCAGTAAGCTCAATCCCAAAATCTTAAGGTGGTAGGTGAGGGCCTTTTTAATGATTTATATTATTCTCTAACATATTTCAATCCCAAAATAATATTGTTTTGTGAGTAAAAACAGATAAATTATCTGCATTAACTGCATAAATATTTTTCTGTTACATATATGGTTAATAGACGGGTGTACTTTCGAAGAAAAAGTGTAGCCTTAGCCCTTATAATGGTTAATTGAAACATTTATCAACTTCATGACTTATTAACATATGTACATATATTTTATCACACTTTGAAAGGTTGATTTTTCAATAACGGTTATAAAGTCAAATTTAAAAATAAATGGTAAGAATAACAATTGTGAAGAACTCATAATCTATATGGGGCTCGCACTTGACACTTACAAGGCGTTTGGTATGCAGATTATGTTTGGTTACCTTGGAAAGTAACATTGGTGAAAGGAAAATGTCATGTTTGGTAACAAAAAAAGAGCTTGTTTCCCGAGTACCAAGTTATCCCGTTTTTTGCTTTTATATGTTACGCCATGTATAACAAGCAACAGATGATGTCCATTGATAATATGGGATACATTATTGCATGGGGATGTGAAAAAAGTGTCGGTGTAAAGTGGACCTATAAAGACCCTAACTTGTAAATCTTAAAATGAGGTTTAATTTAAGGATTTAAATGTCATAATTAGATTCAGAGCGTGAATTCGAGTATTTTGACTGTAATCATGACTAGGTTATGAACAGTGCGTTCTGTCGGATAATTTGCAGTTATGGGAATTAACCGGTAGAGCTTAAATGAACAAAATGATTTTAGAAACATAATTTGATGATTCTGACGCTCAATATGAGTTCAGAACGAAAAATTGTATAGCCTGCCACTTTTCGTGAAAATCTCGTTAATAGTGTTTTCTATCAGATATTTTGTACTGCTGTTTAAGCAACCGGTAGAGTCCAGGAAATAAATAATTGATGAAATAAGAATAAGTAAGTCCAATATATGCCATACAAGTCAAAATAGGCCCAAGAATGATAAGTTTATAAGTTGTAAGTTTCATAAGAAAACGACGTACAGTTGGTGATTCGCAGTGCATTTCGTCAAAAACGGTGCAGAAACCATACTGTGGATTATGAATATTGTTCCTTAGGAAATAAAAATTAATGTAAATGAGATCAGAAAATTAAAAATATGTCTGTAGCTTTAAGTTAGTTCTGTTTAGTTTAAGTGAAAATACGCGAAAGAAAAACATCCGATAAAAGGCCACATGTTCCTATATAGCCTAGTCACTTAAGTGGATCACTATTCACACAAAAAAATCCTCTCTTCTCTCTCCTCTTGGCCGAGCTTCGTCAATGGAGGGGGCTAGGTTTTGTTGTTTTGTTTTCCTTTGAATTCTCCTTAAATACTCAACCAAATCCTTAGTTCCATTACACAAAATTCATAGGAAATCACCCAAGGAATCCATTCCACCCCTCTATTTGGGCTGATTTCACTTGTGGAGGAAGTTCTTCCTCACCCCCTTTTCATTTTACTATTCATCAAAGAAGGAAAAATGGAGCTTTTGATGGAGTTGTGCTTGGACATTGCTCTTTAGGCTTGAGGCAAGTGATTAGAGGTAATAAACCTCTATTTCCATGGTTTTATTTTGATGATTTAAGTCATGAAATTCATGAGTATGTTTTGGTGGGAAAGCATTGTG